ATAACCAATCGACTGTTTCAGTCAATTTTTTGAGTTTAATAAAAAGTATTAAGACATATATGTAACCTCATTTTAAAAAAACGCCCTGTATATTTTAATCTAAAAAAACAGCGTATTAAATTCTCTTTTCAAAAATATAAAATTGAAAAAATTAAATATTAGGTACTTCAAAAAAAGTGTAACAAATTTTAAAAATGTCGAATTTAATAATTAGAATAAATAATTTTTAAAAAAATTCAAACAAATTTTTGAATTTTTTAAAAAGCTACGAATCTTTTTGATTTAATATTGAATTTTTTAAATTTCTTTAATATATTAATATCTATTATATAATAATGTACTTTTTGACGCATCCTATGCACTACTATCGTGTGTCGATGGAAAGAAATAGTATTATTATTATATTTTTGAAAAGAAAATTCGATATGCTAGTTTTTAGGTTAAAATACACAAGGTGCTCTTTTTAAAATGATCATTTTCAAGAAACTTTTGTAATTAACGTTTTTCTGTCTAGCTAAGGAAATATAGGGCCATTTTGAAATTGACAACTTTTTATTTTCCCCCGTATCTCATAAGAGCGCGAATATTTTCAAATTTTGAATTTAACAGCACATGACGCCTAATATGGTTTTTTTGATAGCATTAACAATTACGGAGATACCTACCCTATAAAAGTCGGACCAAAGTGACATTTGTAGAGCACAAACAGACCTTCCCAATTCTGAAATTTCTCAAAAACTGTACATGCATTTTCGACACATCTAAGGGATATCTCCGGAATTGTAAGTGCTATCAAAAAAACAATCTAAGCGCATATTTTTAAATTTTGATTTTACCGTTTTCAGTTTGACCCACAAAGCGTCTCTTTAAAAATATAGCTAGCACACCAGGGAAAAAAGATTCAAAATAATTTCAAAAATATTACAAAAAAATTTTACAAAATCTAAAAAAAATACCTACAACAAAATTTCAAACAGATTTTTGAATTTTTAAAATCTTTTTTGAATATTTTTGAATCAATGTTGAATTTTTTCAATATTAAGTCTTTTAAAAGAGGACCTCTCTTTTAACTAATATAGGGCCATTCTGGACTAGCACCTATGACCCTTATAGCTTTAGTAACCGCTAAGCAAAGATTCTTTGGTGAAGTATCATCTGGAATTCCTGAAGTGTCGACGCATGTTCGAGTTCATTTCAGTCTAAATAAATAGCAGATAAGATCTTAGCATGTAATCACTTTAGAAAAATTAGGTTAAGCATTTCGTAACATTCCCCTTTTGTTATACAAACTTGAGATATCTCGAGGACTTTTGCTGAAAAATAGATTAGATTTCGACCCACTCGATTCTTCAAATTCGGTCTCCATAAAAAAAACTCCCGACTGTCGCCTCCGACGATTCTCACAGGAAACACCTTTGATAACGTTTTTTTTTAAGTTCCCAGAAGCAATTCGCAAATATTGTCCATGTGAGAAAATATGCGAGTACGGAATAACAAGGATTGCATTTCGTTGACGTTGACTCGGGCCCCGATCCCATTAACGGTCATCTGCGATATAGGCAACCCACAGTACGCAATCGACGCGTCCTCGATCCACGTAACGGAGAAAGTGGATTAATGGACTTGCGTGCGTCCTTATCATCATTATTGCAATTGAATGATTATTAGAAATTTAAGTGCAATGCTTATAACTCATTTAATGGTGAAGAAACCGGTAGCTTTACCTATTACCATTATTACAATGGCCAATTATAGATTCATTACTGCACAATGACACCTTAGGTAATCTTTCGTTATTATAATCTAATCAAATTTATAAAAAAATAGCCCCAGTTCGATTTACCTTTCGCCATTGCATAAAATTTATTGTGCAAAGCGGTAAAAATACCACTTGGAATAATAGACAGATTATAGGCAACACATCATACACATTATGCAAATTTGTAGTTTCGCCTTGAAATTTTTGCGAAGAATTCAATATTACACAATTTAAAAATGCCGCACTCATTCGCCTCTCTCCCACCCGATTTTTACTTCTACACCCGAAGCGGACCCAACGCAAAACACGTCCCTCAGGCTCCGTTAGGACGGTTTTTAGAACCGGAAACGCTACTTCGATTCTTTATTTTTTCGCATAGTTTTGTTCTCTTTTATTATAAAGCGGATACACGTATAAAATTTGCCATACAGGCAACGTTTCCAATAGTGTATTCTCTGGCGTTTTTTGCTACTCTGCGGAGTTTTTTCATTCCAGAGGTTTGGAAGCGCCCAGAATGCGTTGGAAATTGTCCGAATCTTTAGAAAAAACACTTAAAAGTTATGGAAAATCACTCAATCTCTTTCAAAAGATTATAAGTGGACTTCAGAGCATTCTTAAGCTTATCGAGAATTGTGTAAGCCGATTCCACAGTTCTATTTTTTCATAACTCTTGTAATAGGGAGTTGCTTGGTGGTTGGACTTTGAATTTGTATTTTGGCTAACACAGAGGAATTTCCACATGTCCCGCTTCATAGCGAACGTAAACGAAAGTATGTCTGGCGAAGGTCGAAGAAGTTGTAGAGAAAGGTTTAAGCAACTTCGGACTTGCGAGTTACCTGCAATTTTATATGTGCGCTAATAGACGAATTATAGTAAATCCGGGGGGAAGAGAAATTTATTTACGAGTGATAAAATTTACGCGAAAGAGCATTTTCGAATCGGTGATTTGTTTTTAAAACCAAACCGCAAGTGATACTCATTTTGATACTTACCAACGTGATTTAACGTTTTTTGCAAAACCCTGCCGCGATGTCATTATTATGTTAAAGAATGTGATGTTAAATACATATGTTGACGGAACCTTATATAACATACGTTAGGTCATAAGGCTACAACCACACTTTCATAGTTAATTTGCAGAGTTACAGTGACGGTGTTGTAATATTAAAAATGCACGTTTGGGCATTTACGTTGACGCTGCAGTTGGTAAAACAACATGAACGCATTACGGATCAAAATTAATTAATTTATCAAGCACAGTTACACGCTCCAGTTCATGTATTCAAAAGGTTGCTCGAGAGATACCTCATGCTAATTAAACGATTACCGTAAAGTTGTTTTCAGTTGTCCATGTGCGATAGTTCTCTTCTCATAACCTTTGCTTCCTCATCGAAACCTTATACGTAAACATTCCAATATCTTCCTGCAACATTTTGTACCATGTATTATGCCATAAGTCTGTAATAATAACAAATAGAGATGTTAGACTCATTAACGGTTTACCCACCAGTTTGTTTAGATGATTAATTTCTCCTCGAATTTCTCTTACATCTTCGACAGCTTCCACTAACGTAGTAGGTAGCATATTTTTCGTTGCTCGAGGATACTAGGAATATAGGAAAATAAATAAAAGGCAAGAAGTGGGGGGAAAATGACATTTAATTACAATATTAAAACATTCAAATAAACGTTGTCATCTTACAACGAAGAGTAGCTCTAGGGTCTTCTTTGATTAACAAGGAAAAAAGGCTACTGAAAACCACCCAGGAATGTGATTAGTTACTTTTTTACTTACCAATGTTCGTTTTTGTTTTACATTATTAGTTTTCAATCTGAACGATGCTTCGGCGGGGAATTTTATTTCCCTCCTAAATCATAAGTATAGCATTGATGTTTAAAATATTATAGTAATTACCTGCCAGCACCTTTCACGGGCTAAGAATATACACAATATAACATATTTCTTTTGACTAACCATTATCGATTAGAGGGGCGAGGTCTGAGAAAAACTAAGTCGACGAACTTGGCGCACCAACGGCTTTAAAATGAAATAGAGAATGAGTTTTATAAAAATAAAATTTAATTAAACGAAAAACATAGAATTACAACTGAATAAGTATGGCAGCGATCCGGCAAACTCAGGCGCCACCAAGGGACGCGGCCCTGTCCTTGGTCAGGCCACAGGTAGACTCGCTCGGAGGAAAAGGAACTCTTCTAAGGCACGACTGAGAAATCTAAAATAAAAATAAATTAGTTCGCGGAATCTACGGGAAATTGAAACGCAGGCCAATGGCAAAAAACCCCTTCTACACGACGGATTTACCTTTTATAAAATTCGGCTATGCCATGGATGGAACGACGGGTTTTTCTAGCCGACACAGCATATTCGGATAAGAACGCCTAAAAATGAAAACTTTGAGACCCCTGACGACTTAATCGGATGCTGTTTACTGCAACACATCCATTTAGCTACCGTTAATTGCACTTACTTAATTGACCTAATTGAAATATAAAATCTGTAGTTCCTCAGGTCGTTTATCAAAACTTGTATCGATGTAAACCTGCAGCACAAATAATTGAAATATCTTAATAGTTCGCTTACGATAGCGGCGGCTGAAACACAACTCTAGAAATCAAATCAATTACCTGTACCTTCAATCAACATAAATAATTTCGGGGCCCCAACTTAAAATGCTTCTAGATACCAGGTGTGCATCTACCGACTGTAAACTAAAATAGGTAAACGTGTGCTTCGTTACAATACAATCCAGATGGAATAATTCTCATTCGCAGACTCTTGTCAGTTCTGAAATCGTAAACCACACTAAGAAGGTCTGGGGGTTTCCCCCCTTTTATTTTGGCTCCAAAAACCAATTATACTATCTTTTAACAAATATATTACGCCACCTAAATCCGAAGACTCATCGCACAAGCTGATAGTACAAATCGTACCCAACTGGTTTTCCAAATCTCCTTTCTACGAGAAAATTATAACACTACTTACGAAAATCTACACAAAATTCCTGTAAAAAAGCTCCACTCAATGTACACAAAATACCCGAACGACAGGGGTTTTAAAGGATTGTGTTAATGCAGTTGTTGCGTACTCTCTGGTCATGATCATAAGAGATGCCAAGATTACATTCACTCACCAGTTTTTTTTGCCAGACAGTTACTCTTGATGCTACTGTCGTTTGCCTGGAACGCCACCACTTTGTCGAGGGACATCGAAAATACCTACTTTTAAAAAAACTAACACAAATTATATTTCATTTCTTAAAAAAGCATAACGCTATCGTAACCACAGAATAAAAATTATCTAGGAGTATCTTAGGAATAAATAAATAATCCTTATCCTAAACAAATTTCAGACAAAACGATAATCTTTTCGTACAATTAATTAGATTCGTCCGAATCGAAATTATATTTAATTTGTTTAACTGCGCGGCCACTGCGTGCGGGGGGAGCTTTCGTCACTGGAATTGCCTCGATATCACTGTCGGAGAGATCATTTTTGTTAAACTCAAAGTCGGATTCGTCGGAGCTGTTGGCCTTCTTCTTTTTGGCGAGCTTCTTTTTCTTTGGGGCAGCACCAAAGTCGTCGTCGGACACGCTCGCCTTTTTCTTAGGTTTCGCTCTTGGTTTTGTTGGCTTCTTTTTCGTTGGATCGATAGTTTTCGCCTTTTTCTTTTGCGGTTTATTTTTTTTCTTGCTGTCGGATTCGCTGCCGCTTATCACACATTCCTTATCGGAGTCGGAGGATGACGCGATGCGCTTGTTTTTCGGCGGGAGTGGAGCTTCCTTGAGCGGCGAATCTTCGTCGGCGTCTCTCTCGGAGTCGGACGACAGCACGACGCGTTTTTGGACGTTGGGCCCTACCGGTTCGTCCGATTCTCGATGTGAGGATTCGTCTTTTTTACCGATGAGCGAATCGAAGAGGTCGTCGGAATTTTCGCTTTTTCGAGGCGCAACCTCGTTTTCGCTGTCTGAAGTTGCGACCATCGACGTTTGGAAGTCTGAATCTTTTATTCCTCTGTTGTTCTTCAGTTCTACGTCCTCGTCACTCGCCGACGAATCCAACTGATACTTTATCGGTTGGACGTTGCGACGGCTCGTGGTTCTTTCTCTGACGGTGGCCCTAAATTCCACGTCGGAACCGTCTACACTGATGTCGTCACTCTCGGCGTCCGAAAATTGCTTTTTCTTACCTCGCTTTTTGGGAGAACCGTTAACTGTAAGAATAAAGTCGCTAAATTAAAAAAAAAATATATTTTTCCGTTGACGTTAGCCAAGGACCCAAAAAAAAATTCCTATGAAAAGAAAAAGCCCACCCCAAGTACCTAAATAATACTGCACTAAAAAAAAACTCCCCCAAACAGAAAGAAAAACAAAGAAAGAGACTGAAGGGCTTAGATGAACTAGCGAAAAGAAATTAAAGAAATGAACGTAAGCGTCCAAGGTAGACCACTCTAAGCTAAAGTCATCAACCGGAAAATCGATCATGACCACATTCATCTAATTGTAAGTATACGGTTTCGCATTGTGAACATGCCAAACATCTTTGCTTACACCGTCATCGTTCTACACTTCATTAGTGCAGTAAGCAGTTTTACGTTTGATTATGGAAGGACCAATTAATTTCGGAGCAAACTTGGTTGTGAACGCCGTATTCCCCGAAGAAGAGCAATTTCTGCAATTCTGTGTAGCGACGTCAGAAGCGCCGCACCTGTGGCAATGAATACTTTTAGGTGGGGTGCAGTCCCGATGAACATGGTCCAACTTGAGATTTAAGAATAGTGGTGGAAGCGAAACTAGAACTACTATCGTGCTGCCGACATGCAGGTTCAGATTGATTTGGAATACGATTCTTTGTTCAGATCGGTAGCAGCTGGTGTGTACCTGATAAAATTCAGTTTCTAAACCCGCATACGCTAAGTCTTCGGTTTAATTAACACCCACACATATACGATATATAAGGTTTTGAATGTTTGATAACTCGCTTTTTGATAAAAATGCGACCACTTTTATAAACATTTGAGATGAATCATTTATAAAAGTATCATTAACTGCATAAAGTATGCTGAAGTTTAAAATAATTTAACAGCGACATCTGTCATTCCCTCACAGTAACAAATAAAGATAGAGATGCTAACATATCGTCGTGTTTACAAACTTTGATGTTTCACGATGTATATAGGGTTGAAAATGTTACCTCCACGTTGATATTTATTTACTGACTCGTTGACTTGTAGATGCTCCTCGTATGAAACTTGCCTTTTTTTTGCCTATATAAGTAAATATCTGTATATTGTATTATGTGGTAAGTAAATAATGTGATTTTGGTATATCCAAAACTTCATTTTGGGTAGATTTATGATAAGAAAATTTTGGGACGTTGTGCTCAGATAAAGCGCCACTTTTGAATATCCAATCAAAATCGATACGTTACCTGAATTATACCTTTAAATCAATAAATACTGTTAAATGCAGGTAATCTGCCGTACGTGTGATGCAAACGTTATAGGTTCCAATTTTATAAATGAACAATTCCTAATCAAAAAATCTATTTTAAATTTAGCACAAATTGAACGAATATTGTAATGATCAACCGCATTATAATTTCCTAAACGATTGAGTAGAAAAACGCAAGCGCAATTCAGTTTATTAATATGTAAACGACCAAGGTTTCCTCAACTATTACGGAAAGGTATAATGGCGACAAAGACAGGATTATTACGACAAAGGCCTCCTTTCTTACTTCATAGGGGGAAAAGGTGTATTGTTTGGGGAATTAGTGCAGAGATTATTGTTTCTCTTTCGTCCTCTCAGTGTCAAAGATTGGGGGTTATGTTGGTGCAAAATAAACGTTTGCGTTATTACAGCGTATGCGTCCTCTATCTTTATTTCTTGCTCCGAGGTTATTCCTATCAATAACTTTTCCAGACCGCGGTTTGACTATTTATAGGACCTTGAGTAAATTCCCTGCATGGAAACTAGTTTGCGCAAGCTCACTTTTTGACATAGAGTGGCCTACGCCTACGCAGAAACAAAACCCTTACCTTTCTCTTCACTCTTCACCTTGAAATTCAGCTTGGTTTGCTTAAAGCCATCCTTTTGCTGCTTCTTTCCTTTCGCCTTCTTCTCCGCTTCTTCGGGCGTTCCAATTTTATCCTTCAAGGTCTTCTTATTATCGACCATAGCATCAAATTCATCCTTGTCATCCTGCAACGGCAACTTTAGAAACCGTACACGAAATGACACCTGCACTTACCTCCGTCAAGATCTCTTTCTTAACGCCCCTCTTTCCCTTGTTCTCCTTCAACTTGACCGCGTATTGAATCCGCTTCTTCAAATCTTCGCTAACGGCGGGGACGATTCGACGCCCGGACGGGGAGGGCATCGTTTCTTGCAAGTTAACTTCCTTCTTCAGCTTCGGTCCCTTTTTGTTGTCCTTCTTTTGGACCGCCCCCAATTCGTCGGCCTTCTCCTTCTGCTCCACTTGCGTTAATTTTTCCGAAAACGTGTTCAGATCTTTACGCCAGATGTCTTCGGGCGTCAGAAGGCGCATCGCCTCCAACTCTTGGAGTTTGACGTCGCGTTGCCGCAGGAGTTCATTTTTTCGCTCCTCCGTCAGCATCCACATGGACATGCCCAACAAGTAGCCGTACTTCTTTACGTCGGATGATTTATTGAACGCCCTCTCTGCAACACACGAATATAGTCGGCATTCGGAAAACTAGCAGAGAGGAAAATATTACCAAAATCCTCTCCAGTTAATTCGCCCGTTTCGTTTGCGGCCTCCTCCTCCTCCTCCTCGTCCTCTGCCAGCTGCATACGTCGCTTCCATTCAAATGTCGGATCCGGCGCGTACTGTCGCTTGATCAGCTCGTCTATGATGGTTTTACGTTTTTTGTTCTCAACCACGAGTTCGCGACTGCACTTTTCCATTATGAAGCGGGCCTGGTTGCTTAGTTTCGACGCTTCCGCTTCCAGCAGACCCTCGAGATATTCTTTTCGTTTTTTGTACATTTTTAATCGTAATGTATAGAACTCTTGCAAGATATCCATAACGGAGTTAAATCTGCAATGATTATTATGTTGAATCATCATCCGATGAGTTTTTTTTTTGGAAAAATGAGCAAAAATTTCAATTTAGTTATAATATACATAAATGATAGAAACAGGCTCCGCAACTATTATGTTACTCTTGTGAACGTCATGGCTTTATGATAAATGGTCGAACTGCTCTATTTCATTCCCCACAAACGACCACTCTTTATAGATTGATGAACTAGATAGGTCCGTCGGCGCCGTTTAATTAGCAAACGCCGTTTTGTGTGGTTTACCGTATAGAATTTTTTTTAAAATTTTTTTTTATTTTTCTTAATCTTTATTTAATTTTATTTTTATATTTTTGTTTCTTTATGTGGTTTACCGTTTGTCAATTTTTTTTTAAATTTTATTTTTTTTATTTTATTTTTTTTTCTTATTTTTTTTGTTTAATGGTTGTGAGAATATAGTTAAGGTTGGTTGACGTTACAATTTTCTAAAACGGGAAAAGAAATTTGATTAGGTTCAAAAAAGCATCGATATGTCAATAGTCAATCTCATTACATAGGTTAAGACTGCGCTGGAATGAATATATTTTGCACAAATATCGCCGAAAATGGGATATTATACGTTTGTGTATTAATTTTTGGAAGGGTAATTCATGATCGGCGCAATACGATTTTTTGCACAATTTTATTAGATGAACCCACCATAAAAATTTTGATCAAATTACTCCACATCATTGCGCATGCGCTATACGACTTTTGGCGGGGCCATTGACAATTCTTTTGAATTTGTGAAGAATGTTTTTGTTTTTTGGATACATCACCTATACAAAGTCATTTTAACTTTCGATTCAACTTGTTAAATCCAGATCTGCACATAAAGTACATAAGATTTTTAAATTTTGATAACACTTTTTGGTTTTGAGGAGACATCCGCTCGGCTCCGGCGGCTTTGCCGCCTCGCCTCACTATAATTCGTAACGGTACATAGCTCGGCTTCGCCTCGCATTGTTCACTGTTTAACAAAGACAATTTCTCAGTTTCAATTTTGGTGCGGTAAGAAAATGCTATTGAGCAGACTGAATAGACCTTTTTTTTAATTTTTGAGGAATATTTTGGTTTATTGAAACATAACCTATACAAAGAAACTTTTTTTAAAATTTCGATTTAACCTGTAGATAAAGTATATCGGGCCGAAACTAATGGCAGCGAATCAGTATTTTGTTATAAAACTACGTTTTCGCAAGGATCTCCGTTTTTTTTATTAGGTTTAGATGAATGACGGGAAAGATGGGCGCGTGTAGGGCCGTAAGTAAGCGTCGTTTGCCGCCGCGAACGGGGATAGGCGAGTCTACGGGAGAGCCCTCGCTATGCCCAACTCGCCTTCGGCTCGCTCGGCATTGATGGAGGAAAAATGCGAGCCGTTTTCGTCGAGAGAAGGGCGAGCTCGAGCTATGCCGAGTCGAGAATTTTTGTTTGCATTTGTATTGAGAAAAAAGTTAAAAAAATTCTTAAATCTACAAATAACCTAATGCCCCAAGCTAAGGGAGGGCCAAAGTGATTGGTATACGAGGCGCGTGTGTTAAGAATCGAAAGTCTTCGGTTATTTTACTTAGTTGGGGAAGGGTTATTAAGAATTTTTATTTCGGAAAAAGTTAAAAAAAAATATCTTAAGCTTACAAATAACCTAATGTGCAAAGTTGCTTGGTGTCACATTTTGTTTAGCTTCATTTATAATTGTTGTTTGAATTTGTATTACGAAAAAAGTTAAAAAAAAATTTCTTCAACCTACAAATAACCTAATGTCCACCGCAGCTTGATGTCACATTCGATTTAGCTTCATTTATAATTTTTGTTTGAATTTGTCTTTCAAAAAAGTGAAAAATTTTTTTTAAAACTCTACAAATAACCTAACGTCCCAAGCTGTTTGGTGCCACACTCTTCATTTTCAGTTTTTTTTAAATTTGTATTTTAAAGAAGTATATATAAAATATGTAGGTATAAAAAAGCCTCGCACTGTTCAGTGTTCAACAACGACAATTTCTCAGTTTCAGTTTTGGCGTGGTAAGAAGATGCTACTAAGCAGACTGATTTGATAATTTTTTTGAATTTGTGAGTAATATTTTTTTTTTTGGAAACAACACCTATACAAAGTGATTTTTCTACTCAACCTGTTGAATACAAATCTGCACATAATTGTACATAAGATTTTTTAGTTTCGATAACACTTTTTGGTTTTGAGGAGACATCCGCTCGGCTCCGGCCGCCTCGCCTCACTCTGATTCGTAACGGTCCGTAGCTCGGCTTCGCCTCGCACTGTTTTCTGTTCAACAAAAATAATTTCTCAGTTTCAGTTTTGGTGTGGTAAGAAAATGCTATTAAGCAGACTGAATTGATATTTTTTTGAATTTGTGAGGAATATTGTTTATGAAAACATCACCTATACAAAGTGATTTTTTTGAAAATTTCCATTCAACTTGTTGAACCCAGATCTGCACAGATTTTAAATGTTGTTGTCAATTTGGTTTTGATGAGACATACGCTCGGCTCCGGCGGCTTTGCCGCCTCGCCTCGCTCTGATTTATAATGGTCCATAGCTCGGCTTCGCCTCGCGTTGTTCACTGTTCCACAAAGACAATTTTTCAGTTTCAGTTTTGATAATGTAAGAGACTGATATTGAGCAGACTGAATTGACAATTTTTTTGGACACATCACCTATATAAAGTGCCTTTTTTTTAAATTTCTATTCAACTTGTTCAATCCAAATCTACACATAAGATTTTTTAATTTTGTTATCACTTATTGGGTTTGATGAGACGGAGAGCGGTGCATATGATAGCTAATAATTCGAGCTAAATATTCCCCATTGAACGTACCCGTCTGACAAGTCTCTTAAAAAATTACAAACGAAAAACTCACGCGTCTATGTCACCCTTAACTTAAAAAGCATTCGGATGACTTCCAATTTCAAAATATACCCAAAACGCAACCGGCCACGTATACATTAAGTCTTCCGCAATAACTTTTCCATTGTAACATTATAACTATTCTCGTTCCTTTTAATTAAAATAATTAATACAAAAAATTTGTGACGTTAAAGAAAAAAAAACTGCGCGCGTTCGGATTCGAACGCCGATCGTCCAATTCAAACTGCAACCCGTTTACCTTTGCGCCACGTCGACTTTCGTTTATAATACTTTTAAACCACTATAAGTACGTCGAGAATACGTAAATTATCAAATTATTTAAACGCACTTTATTTACTCCACACTTATTCGAAGCACTTTTAAAGTTTATAATAATCAATTTCGAACACTTACCGATCATTGTAATACGTTAATTTAGGTTTATGAGCACTTTTAAAACTTGACGGAATCCGTTTGACAGTTAACCGACACGCAAACTTTATCACTTAATTTCGAACACAAATCGATCACGCACCGTCCCGAAACCGATTTTAACACATTCCTCGTAGTTTTCTCGAATTTTTGAGACCTCTACCGAAATTCTCCGTCCTAAATTAAGCTCGCAATTAATTAAAAAGACAGTACGGCGCGTTCGGCAATCTTCGGCGCTTAATGTAGACGAAAAACAAAACGAAGCGGTCACGTGACTTTTGCAGACCTTCGGGAGAAAATTTACCACGGCGCCGTCGTCCGAGTTACCTCCTCGCGATAAACGGAAAAAGAAAGAGAAAACTTGCCCGCAGGTATCGAACCCGATTTCGACCCCGTATCTCTTCGCCGGAACGCGCTATTCAAAATCTCCGGTTTTTCACCTCTCCCCCCCCTCCGGGGGGTGGTAGGGCGACCCGCGACCCCTCGTCTCGTAGATCTCGTCGAGATCTACAATCGCGCAATTGTACGTTTTGCTCTAACTCGAACGGTTCGGCCTGTAGAAGGCGTCAAAGTTGGAAAATGCGAAAAACCACCTTTTCGAGAGGGGTCGCGCGGTTCCCAAACGGGGCTATAGAATTGAATCGCACCCCGGCACAAATACGCTCCTCCACGTCGCCCGACGTCTCAGAAAGCGCGAAAAAAAGTTACGGTGCCGTTTTCGAGTTACGAATTTTTTTCTAAAATTTTCAATTTTTTCGCTTCTTATGGCAGGTTGCCGCGGGAATTTTCTTAACCCCACCGAAAGTCGCGCCAACTATCTAAACTCCCCGAACCGGCGGCGTATTGGCATTCTGTACTATTATTCAGAGCACCTCTGGTCTGATTCGCAGTATACTATGGCTTCACGTTATGCGCAATTTGATAATACATTATATACTGCGATTCAGAGCACTGATATGGTTTAGTGCTCGTTTAGTGTTTGTTTTATTACTACCAGCTAATCACTTGTCGCACCAAACAATGTTCATATCTTCACCCCTTTTTTAAAATTTCGCTTTAAATCCATGTTCCACTAGTTCCAAATATCCGTTCATTGAAAACGTATTCTCGTTGCACATTTCAACCAATACCTCTTTATAGATTATTTTATTGCAGTTTGAGAACCTTGATTACACACAAACAACAAAAAATATACTTTTCTTGCAAAGGTAACAATAAAAACACACTTCTTGTAAGTACGTATGACGCGCTTTAAAGAAACCCATTATATACAGTGTTTCAGAACTCTAAAGTTTAAACCATATCGGTGCTCTAAATCGCAGTACATAATGTATTATCAATTTGCGCATAACGTGGAGCCATAGTATACTGCGAATCAGACCAGAGCTGCTCTGAATAATAGTACAGAATGCCAATACGCGAACCGGCGTCCCGACGTCCTAACCCTAACCGTATGGAAACGGCGAATTTTTATCCGCGCCCGCGCACCTCGACGACGACGCTCCCCAGCCGCTCAGGAGAATTTCCCAGATCCCAAACTCTCAGAATCGATCCGAAATCGTCTCAAAAAGGTCGAATAAAATTTTCATCAAAATCGGTTCGTTTTTAAAGAAATTAAAAATATAAATCGAGTAAACGGTTGTAATTAAAAATGACGCCTATCCTCTACCACACGTATCAGCTATTTTAGATCGGCTACGTGACGCCTAAAGGTAAGTTCATAGCTCTCCGTTCATACGTTTCCGTTTGTCCGTTAGCCAATCAGAAGACAGCAAATTTTTAAACGTACGTCGTCCGTTTACGACGGAAAAGTTGGTTGAAGTTGAACATTTACGTTTCCGTTGGTCCGTTTTTAACAAGAGTGAGGTTATGTTTGGTATGTTAACAGCGTTCGCCTATTCGTTCTTCACGGTAATAATCAGATAGCAATGTGTTCTTACTTTCGTACCATTTTCACATACTGAAAATCACGGAAGGTACAGCACAAAATAAAGTTTAGGTTATGGTTATACTTGCAAATGTACAATGTGGACGGATTGCTATGAACCTTAACAAAATGTACTATCCGTTTGACGGATCAACGCAACGGATGAACGGAGAGCTATGAACCCACCTTAACACATTCAGTTTGGACACAGATCTAAGCATACACAGATTGCTAACCTTATGCATTTTTTGGGAAACAAATTTAGGTATACTTAAAGGCGCCCTCTATTGTGGAGCAGTATAAACATGTATCGTTTAAAACTGTAATAAGACGCTTATGGATTTACGCGGTAGATGTCACTGAAGCAAAATTAAAGCGCTAAAGTTTGCACAATTCGAATTCCTTAATATTCGTATTTTTACAGTGATATGATATGATAGGAGGTACGCTGAGCCATAATTGTTTAATTTAACACTGGAGCTACTCATTCGTCGTAAAGGAGTTATTAAAAGCGGGTACCTGTGGTCACAGATACACACGAACATAGGGCAGGTTCTTAAAGAATCGTGAAGGTTTTTTGAAGTGGGCGGAAATTATTTGCAGCTTTAAAGGTCTTGACAGATTGCTAACCGCAAAGGTATACTTAAAAACTATATGTATATCTCTGCCATAATTAACGTTACACTCTTTACCACGCCGATAAGATTTGGAATACGTTTGTAGGTAGCTATACATATATGATCTCTTGAATACGTGTCTATAAGCAAATCACAAAATAAATTCACAGATTACAAATATCAAATGCCAATAATAACGAATTCGAATTATTCACACTTTACCGCTTTAAATTTTTTGCAGCGACATTAGCAAAAATCAATAAGCGTCATATTACAGTTTTAAACGGTACATGTTTGTACTGCTCCACAATAGAGGGCGCTTTTAAGTATACCTAAATTTGTTTCTCAAAAAATGCATAAGGTTAGCAATCTGTGTATGTGTAGATCTGTGGTTTGGATATCAAATCAGCTTATTGCGAAGATTCACTCTCATACTCGTCTTGTGAGTATACCGCCTTTACTATTCCGGGAAGAGGGTTATAGTATGCCTTTTGGTTTAACAAACGCACCGTAAAAGAGAGAAAAAATCGATTTGTTTCAGATTCTAGTTCAATTTGGACCAATCTCAAACGCTTTTGCTAATTTTTCAAATACCTCGTTTGACGTCGAGCGAAATTACTTACTTTCTTAAGCAGCCCAGCTCGTCGAATACGCACATGGACGTCGTATGCATGAGCGATTGCAACTTAAAAACTTTATGCAAGCCCTGCTGTTCCAAAGCTTGCAATTGTCCCGGCAGAAGGATGACGACGAACTTGACGGTGGTGTCGGTGTTGTACTCTTTGTAGTTCTCGAGGATCTTCGGCGTTTTTTCGGAGCCTATTCGGACAAAACAAAATATAATTAAGTTGGAAGCTCTCAATTTTGTTCCTACCCCTCCAAGCTCCGTTATAATTAAGGAAGGAATATGAAAATTGAGGTTATGTTTACCAATAAGTATAGAAATAAGTGATAAATCTTACCGTTCAGTAAAGGTTCGAGAACGTGCTCCTTATAATTTTGGGTCCACGTGCCGATCGGTAGTTCGGTTATTTCGATCGTGTTGGGCCCAGTAACGGAGACCTCTCCGCTCGTCACGTACCGCTGGTCGCCGCAATCTTCGATGGTGCCTGTGAAATTCTTATACCACGGGATCATGGGGACGGGTTCCTCGCCGTCGAGCATGTTCCGGAGGTTCTGCACGATCTCGCGCGGGTTGTAATTGGGAATTTTCGTCATCCAGCCGGTTCCGATGCCGTCCGCGCCGTTAACGAGGATCATCGGTAGAATGGGAATGTACCATACCGGTTCGATCTTTTTGTTATCGTCGTATTCGTGCTTGAGGAGGGGGTCGTCGTCGGGATGAAAAATGAGACGGGCGAGCGGGGACATTTTCGTGAAGATGTACCTGGCGCTCGCCGAATCTTTTCCGCCGCACAGGCGAGTGCCGAACTGGCCGATCGGTTCCAATAAATTTACGTTGTTGCTGCCGACGAAATTCTGCGCCAAATTTACGATGGTTGTGCATAGGGAGACTTCGCCGTGGTGATACGCCGACATCGCGGCGACAAAACCGGAAAGCTGAGCGACCTTGACTTCGCGCTTGTCGTTCCGTTTGAAACAAGTGAACAACACCTTCCGCTGACCCGGTTTAACGCCATCTACCAAACACGGTATGGAGCGCACATTATCGGCATTCGAAAAGAGTACCAGTTCAAAGTTAATAAAATCGGAGTAAGAGACGACCCGGGTGTCTTTTGTATACAAGTACTTTTCGGGTAAACCGATCTCTTTGCGACGTTTTGTCTCCACCATGAAGTTTGTAAGCCACTCTTTACGATGCTCTATGTGCTTCTTACTGAAAGCTAGCACAATGTGATCGTCATCCTGCTGACCACTATAGCGGAACCGAATGCGATGACGCGCCATATTTGAGAAGTATTCTCTCATTTCATTGGAGCCGGACGTACCCAAACCTTTGTAGTATTTGATCGTGTACGTGTTATGATTCGGCGTCGCACTCTTCCATTCGTCAAACTCCGGTATGGAATAAAAACTATGAACCTCGTTACGTTTGGACGCCTTAACGATGGGCGTTATAAACTCCTCCAAGTAATTGCGACGTATTAGAGCTGGCCAATTGCTATGTATGAAGTTAATCAGTAAACCTTTGATGTGAGAACCGTCCTGATCCTGATCGGTCATGAGCATAACCTTCCCGTACCGCAAAGTATTCATCTCGCTGTCGTCCTCGTACTTCTTCTTAAAATTCAAGCCCAAGATCCTGACGAGATAATTTATTTCGGCATTCTCCATTCGCTGCTTGTGCGTCGCCTCGCGGACGTTCAACAATTTTCCCTTAAGCGGAAATACGCCGTAATAATCGCGGCCGATTATACCCAATCCGGATACGACAGACGATTTGGCGGAATCTCCCTCCGTTAAGATTAGCGTACACCTAAAAGCATACGGCAACTAAAGAATGCTTAAAGAGAGGCGTTAGCAAGATTGAAATTATACAGCCAGTAGAAATCCCCCCCCTCCCTTCTTAAGGTCAGCAGACCTTTTTAGCGCATTTCAAACAAACTGATGTCTTACCGAAGTGATCCTCCAATTTCCAAAAGATTAGGGACATTTGGAAATAATTGCGTTGTTATTTTGTAAAAGTCTCCGGTCTTTGCGATAAGAAGTTCGTTATCGCTGCGTAAGTTGTAGATGAGCAGGTGTTTTGTTCGCCGTAAGTAAACACGGATGTAAGTTTACTGGAAGACGCGCAGCGCAATAAGTCGATAGAAAACGAGGGAATTGTACGGGAAAGAACACGGGACTTTTGGGTCAAGTTTTTGGTGGATTTTTATGGGTGTATGGTAGTCGTTAAAGGCCCACCTAACCAAGCTATTATCCAACAGACGCCTCAAATATAGTCAGCGGCAAAGGCATGTGGCGGACGAAGCGACCAGGACAGGGGACGCACAAAAAGTAGCCCTGTACCTGAAACCTATAACATGAAAGCAGAAACCCGGAAAGGCATACTGGCCGAGTTACAGCTACTATACAGGGTGTTTTTTTGGGAGCTTTAGTTAAAAGTTTCTGGGAAAGTAAAATAGGTAGGTTTTTGAAAATTTGTACTTAGGAGTTACTCTGAAAGCCGAATCGATGTAAAATATTTTCAAAATGGCCGCACTTCCGGAAACACCGGCAGTAGATACAAACTTCGTTATTTTAAATGGCAACCCCTATTTTTTATTGCATTTTTGGATTCTACGTGAAATTTCACTTCTTTTGATACCCAGATGTCGATATCTACCATTTATGGTTTTTAAGTTATTTTGACTTTAAGAAAAAAAATGGCGGATGCAGATGGTACCTTGATAATTGATTACTTGAAAACGGTTGTAGTCATGGCAAACTATTTTTATCAGTGCATAGAGAATGAATAGGGCTTTCTTTTAGTACACTGAAAAAAAAGTTAAGTTGCGTACGACCACCCCTATGGATATCCAAATTTATGAAACTTCAAAGACTAAAAACTCAGTTTTTTTAAATGGAATGACCATGTTCTTACTATTCCATGAGATAGAGAATCGAAATGGGGATATTTTGCCAATATATGTTCCTATAGCTATCTTGAACGGTTTCTGACTTATTCCCATTTTATTGAATTGACACTATTTTTTTCGGATTTTCTTTTTAGTAGTCGGCCATGATTCTATAAACAATTGAATTTTAAACAAATCTAGTGACACTAATCCGTCACCTACTGTTATAGGTTAACATAGTTTTTCAAAAATCGAAAAATGACTCGCAGTGGTTTCACCTTTTTTGGAATTTAATTGTTATTTATGGTGAAATGGGCAGAATCGCCGCGCGTGCTTTCCGTACATTCATTCGAAAACTGGAACGAAATTGTATGAATTTTGGAAATTTTGTACCCCAAATGCACTACAAACCGTTGAAGCACAAGTGATACAAAGCTCTACAAGAGAATATTTAAGAAAATGAATTGAATTGCAAATGCAAGATTAACAAAATAAATTCAATGCAAAATATAAAAAACTTCGTTGAAACATTTTTGTTATGGAATTGCTGCTAGAACAGATATCGCATTACCTCTCTGAATTTTTAGACTTATACGTTGTTTAAGAAATTCAGTTGAACGACTGTTTAGATTTTTCAAAAATTTTCCGTCCTATATCCTTATTAATAAATGAGTTATTTATTAATGAATTATTTAGACTAGAACTAGAATCAATGGTATTAAAGAATCCATTCCTTGATTTGTTTAAAATTCGATTGTTATAAAATCATGGCCAACTACTAAAAAGAAAATGCGAAAAAAATGGCATCAATTCAGAGATCAATTCAATGAAATGGGAATAAATCAGAAACTGTTACAGATAGCTATAGGAACATGTAATATCAAAATATGCCAATTTCGATTCTCTATCTCATGTAATATTAAGAACATGGTCATTTCATTTAAAAAAACTGAGTTTATAGACTTTGAAGTTTCTTAAATTTGGATCTCCATAGGTGCGGTTGTACGCAACTTAACTAAAAGAAAGCCCTATTCATTCTCTATGCACTGATAAAAATGGGTTGCCATGACTATAACCTTTTTCAAGTAATCAATTATCAAGGTACCATCTGCATCCGCCATTTTTTTTCTTAAAGTCAAAATAACTTAAAAACCATACGTGGTAAATATCGACATGGTGAGTATCAAAAGAACTGAAATTTCACGTAGAATCCAAAAATGCAATAAAAAATAGGGGTTGCCATTTAAAATAACGAAGTTACTATCTACTTCCGGTGTTTCCGGAAGTGCGGACATTTTGAAAATATTTTACATAGATTCGGGCTTCAGAGTAACTCCTAAGTACAAATTTTCAAAAATCTACGTATTTTACTTTCCCAGAAACGTTTAACTAAAGCTCCCAAAAAACACCCTGTATATACACTTTAAAACAATACACGTCCTGTATGTATTATCTTATCATTTATAGAAAAACCATTGATTTTTTTCATGTTTATTAATGCAGAAAGGTAAAACCTTACACCTGGGGGAGTTGGCTACAGCCCAAAGCCGGTAAGGGTGGGCGGGCGGAGCTCATCTGCTACTACACGAACAAGAAAATTAGTTCTCTTTTTCTACAATTCAATATAAATGAAAATGTCCCCTGGAAAAATTATAAATGACACATGGGTCAATGACAGTTTGGCATTGCACATAACAGTATAAAAAGGATCAAAATTTAAAAAATGTGTAAATTAACCCCGGATAAGTGGGGTTCTACTGCACTACAGTATTTTCCCAGATACTGACTTTCAGTTCTTTTTATACAACAGTGTAAATAAAGTCTTTAAATATAAAAAGTACCGCAATCCATTGGGCTCGTGCGTTAGAGAGAGAACGCATGATTTTTGCCCAAAAATGGCCGAAGTTACCAGATTCTAGTAACTTTAATGTTAGGGATTGTTCCACCTGTTTTGAGATATCTGTATATATTTTTATAAAACATGACAGTACTATGAAGTTAGGTTATAAAAAATTACAGCTATTCAGATTTTATTTGTCAATTTTTTTAAGTTGGCAGCCCAAAAATGGCGGATGATTGCGGTACTTTCTATATCTAGTGACTTTAAGTGTAAATTTGTTGCAGCGCCATCTAATGCATAAATCCACAAGCGCTAATTTTACAGTTTTGGAAGGTACACGTTTATACTGCTGCTCGATAGAGGGCGCTTATGAACAAAAATCACCGATTCTCTTACTACTCAGATTATGATTTAAATTCCTTACCTATGACCCATTGGCCCGCCCGCCTTGTTGGCATCGTCCAATTTCGGAATGTCCTTCAATTTCGTCTGTTTCTTACCGCTGGTTTTCGAGAGTTGATCTTGCTCCTTGCTCTTTGCCCACATAAGAATCGTTTCGATGATGCCGCCCTTTGCGACAGCATTAAAAAACTTCTCGCTCAAATTGCACTTCGAACCGAAATTCTTCACTTGCAACGTCATTGTTTCCTTCGATTGCGAGTCGAAGGATGGATTGACGATAAGACAGTTAATAAAAATCCACATGTGATTCTTAATTTGACCCGGCTTAATGGCGACTCCGCCCTTATTTTTCTTCTTTAGAAGCTCGCCGACGTGCTTTGTGATCATGTCGACGACGTGATCGACGTGCTTGCCACCTTTACTCGTGGCGATGCTGTTCACGAACGAAACCTGAAGAGTAAATTGTGAACAACCCATTTGAAGTTATATATTGATTTTCCCAAAGAAAGGTATAAATAAAACTCATTTTTAACAAGCACAAATTAACATTAATTGACCACAAATTCCGGGCGTATATGCACTAAGAAAATAAAGAACTAATGACAACAATCCTTAAATCATATGTTCAATTTTACCAATTGTCAAATTAAAAACATTTGTTTATTTGGAAATGATTGCGTCATATGTGTTATCTCCGGTCGTTGCAATAAGAAATTTGTTATCGCTACGGTAGCAAATTAGTTTCAAGATAAGAAAAACACAAGTGTTTAATTTCCTCGATGGTGCGCAAAAAGGAGGAAGGAAAGAAGGTTTTAAATGGGCGAATTGGGCGTTGATCGTGGGTGTTTTTGGTGTAACGAGGTCAGCGGAAATTGAGCGTATTTTGTTACAAGAGAATTTTTGATATTGCTGCTGGATTTTACTTTGGATTTCACACACCAGACGCTTAAATCTAAATGAACATAGTGAGTTTATAAAATGTGATCAATTAATGTCGATTTTACGATCGTTTTAATGGTTAGAATCGTGAAAAACTTGGTACCTGTCGAAATCCGTAGTCGGACGTCGTAACGGCCACCTCCCATCGTTCATTCGGACTTTCGTATATCAACTTATGGGCGTCGTTCCCGTCATCGTCGTTATTCTTTATGTACAGGTCTACGTATTCTTTAAAATTTTTCACCGGTAGCTTTTTGCCGTTTAAAAACACCTTGACACCGCGAGTGGAGGCGGCCACATCGAATGCGCGTCTAGAAAAGAGTCCGACGATATCGTCGTCTAAATTTTCCATTTTAAACTTTTTCAAGTCCGGAGAAAAAGTAATCTTCGTAAACTCCTCCCCGGAGTAGTCCTTGGTCTTGGGTTCGGACGCCTTCGACATGTTCGCGCTCCACGACTGTTTAAAATGCTGTTTGTACTCTTTGCTTGAGGTCTCCACTGTAAACTTTGTACTGAAGACGTTGCACAGCTTCGCGCCGTACCCGTTTCTACCGCCGGTAACCTTCTCCTCTTCGTCGTTGAAGTTGGACGAGGTTAAGAGATGGCCAAAGATCATGGTCGGAACGTACATTTTCTCCTCCTTGTGCATCACGACAGGTATACCTGATGGAAAATGATTGGAGTTACAATATACCCACGCTAGTAGTATGGTTCAAGATAAATTTTAATATTCCTAAAGTAATCGACCTACGAGAACCGTGCACACGAACAGGTTTTGTATCAAATCCAAACAAAGGATTGTGGTCATTTTGTTCAATGATTGGAAAAATGCATTTAATTTCAGTAATACTAGTACTCCTTTGGTTGGATTAAAAATTTGTTTAGTATTCAGAGGAGGGTGGTGGATTTTGTGCCAGTGCCATAGACTCTCAATTTCATGTTATGTAAAGTGAGGTATTCGACCCTTGTAGATGTAACTAAGCCGTTACAGGCCTAATCCTGCTTGAAAAAAGACGTATAGAACAACTTAAGCCCTTCTGCAGAGGCACCTCTAAAAAGCATTATGCGGGTCACTCTGTAATTGGGCGAAAGCCTATTGATGGCCCAGAACAAGAGAGGGATAATAAATAAATAAACAAACATTTGTGATTATGATTAAGTTCCGTAAGGTGAAGTTTAATTAGTTTCAAGATACGCACGTGTTATCGCCGATAAGAAAACAACAGATGTGCAGCTAATTTCAAAGCTGCTTTTGCTGTTACGAAATCTTAAAGGTGGTATAAAAGAGACCCTTTAAATACGAGCCCGCTTCTACATTCTCTACAACTGACACCTCCAAAACACCAGTTCTAAAGAACTTTGAAAAAAATTATGGGGTAAGTGGTAAGGGTACTAAACATACCTCCAAGGAAATAGAGTCAATCTTTATTTACCTACAACTGACAAAAAAATCTTCGTACACTGCCTAATTATTGGGTAAATCGGCCATGAAGAATTGCTGGAACATATTTTCAAGTTCTAAAAATGAGCAACAGAGGGCGTAACTGCCATCTTCAATTTTAAAATTGTATTTTCTTTAAATTTCGCAAAATAAACTAAAAGAAATTTTTCACTTATTTAAAGAGAACCATTTTCGTAAAAACAAAAACTCTGTTATTTCAAAAACAAAGATGGTGTGGGGCGTTCAATTATTTTTGCAATAACCTGCTTTAACTTCTTAACCGTTTGGCCGATTTTAACAAATTTGGTATGGTTGAAAAGGACATTCCTTGGGCAATGAGAATCAACCAGGATTCAACTAAATTAACTATATTTTGGTTGATTCTTGTTGCCTAAGGAGTGCTCTTTTCAACAATACTAAATTTGTTAAAATCGGTCACACGGTTAAGAAGTTAAAGCAGGTTATTGCAAAAACAATTGAACGCCCCCTCCCAATCTTTGTTTTTGAAATAACTGAGTTTTTGTTTTTACGAAAATGATAGATAAACTGGTTCTCTTAAAAATGTGAAAAAACAATGTTTAGTTTATTTTGCGAAATTGAAAGAAAATGCAATTTTAAAATGGCAGTAAAATTTTGTCTCGCCACCAGGAGAACATAATAGTTGAGGAGGTCTTTTCCCATCACCCACAAAAGTATTTCGAAGCCAAATTTCGTTTTAAATCTTTTCCAATTTGGTATCAGGGGGTTATAATGTGCGAGGAGGTGTTTAAGCTCCTAATACACGAGGGGACAGTCAAAAAATTCTTTTAAAATTTTGTCTGGCTACCAGGAGACCATAATAGTCGAGGAGGTCTTTTCTCATCACCCACAAAAGTATTTCGAAGCCAAATTTCGTTTTAAATCTTTTCCAATTTGGTATCAGGAGGTTAGAATGTGCGAGGAGGTGTTTCAGCTCCTAATACACGAAGTGCCAATCACAAAATTATTGTAAAATTTTGTCTGGCTACCAGGAGAACATAATAGTGGAGGAGGTCTTTTCCCATCACCCACAAAAATATTTCGAAGCCAAATTTCGTTTTAAATCTTTTCCAATTTGGTATCAGGAGGTTATAATGTGCGATGAGGTGTTTAAGCTCCTAATACACGAGGGGATAATCAGAAATAACTTTTAAAATTTTACCTTGGCTACCAGGAGAACATAACAGTCGAGGAGGTCTTTTCCCGTCGCCCACAAAAATATTTCGAAGCCAAATTTCGTTTTAAATCTTTTCCAATTTGGTATCAGGGGGTTATAATGTGCGAGGAGGTGTTTAAGCTCCTAATACACGAGGGGACAATCAGAAAATTCTTTTAAAATTTTGTCTGGCTACCAGGAGAACATAATAGTCGAGGAGGTCTTTTCCCTCACCCACAAAAATATTTCGAAGCCAAATTTCGTTTTAAATCTTTTCCAATTTGGTATCAGGAGGTTATAATGTGCGAGGAGGTGTTTAAGCTCCTAATACACGAGGGGATAATCAGAAATAACTTTTAAAATTTTACCTTGGCTACCAGGAGAACATAACAGTCGAGGAGGTATTTTCCCATCACCCACAAAAATATTTCGAAGCCAAATTTCGTTTTAAATCTTTTCCAATTTGGTATCAGGAGGTTATAATGTGTGAGGGGGTGTTTCAGCTCCTAATACAAGAAGTGCCAATCAGAAAATTCTTGTAAAATTTTGTCTGGCTACCAGGAGAACATAATAGTCGAGGAGGTATTTTCCCATAACCCACAAAAATATTTTGAAGCCAAATTTCGTTTTAAATCTTTTCCAATTTGGTATCAGGAGGTTATAATGTGCGAGGAGGTGTTTCAGCTCCTAATACACGAGGGGACAATCAGAAAATTATTGTAAAATTTTGTCTGGCTACCAGGAGAACATAATAGTCGAGGAGGTCTTTTCCCATCACCCAAAAAAATATATTGAAGCCAAATTTTGTCTTAAATCTTTTCCAATTTGGTATCAGGAGGTTATAATGTGCGAGGAGGTGTTTCAGCTCCTAATAAACGAGGGGACAATCAGAAAATTCTTTTAAAATTTTGTCCGGCTACCAGGAGAACATAATAGTCGAGGAGGTCTTTTCCCATCACCCACAAAAATATTTCGAAGACAAAATTCGTTTTAAATCTTTTCCAATTTGGTATCAGGAGGTTATAATGTGCGAGGAGGTGTTTCAGCTCCTAATACACGAGGGGACAATCAGAAATTCTTTTAAAATTTTGTCTGGCTACCAGGAGAACATAATAGTCGAGGAGGACTTTTCCCTTCTCCCACAAATATATTTCGAAGACAAATTTCGTTTTAAATCTTTTCCAATTTGGTATCAGGAGGTTATGAGGAGGTTTTTCAGCTCCTAATACACGAGGGGACGATCAGAAAATTCTTTTAAAATTTTGTCCGGCTACCAGGAGAACATAATAGTCGAGGAGGTCTTTTCCCTTCTCCCACAAATATATTTCGAAGACAAATTTCGTTTTAAATTTTTTCCAATTTGGTATCAGGAGGTTATAATGTGCGAGGAGGTGTTTCAGCTCCTAATACACGAGGGGACAATCAGAAAATTCTTTTAAAATTTTCTCCGGGTACCAGGAGAACATAATAGTCGAGGAGGTCTTTTCCCATTACCCACAAATATATTTCGAAGACAAATTTCGTTTTAAATTTTTCCAATTTGGTATCAGGAGGTTATAATGTGCGAGGAGGTGTTTCAGCTCCTAATACACGAGGGGGCAATCAGAAAATTCTTTTAAAATTTTGTCCGGCTACCAGGAGAACATAATAGTCGAGGAGGTCTTTTCCCATTACCCACAAATATATATCGAAGACAAATTTCGTTTTAAATGTTTTCCAATTTGGTATCAGGAGGTTATAATGTGTGAGGAGGTGTTTCAGCTCCTAATACACGAGGGGACGATCAGAAAATTCTTTTAAAATTTTGTCCGGCTACCAGGAGAACATAATAGTCGAGGAGGTCTTTTCCCATCACTCACAAAAATATTTCGAAGCCAAATTTCGTTTTAAATTTTTCCAATTTGGTATCAGGAGGTTATAATGTGCGAGGAGGTGTTTCAGCTCCTAATACACGAGGGGACAATCAGAAAATTCTTGCAAAATTTTGTCCGGCTACCAGGAGAACATAATAGTCGAGGAGGTCTTTTCCCATCACTCACAAAAACATTTCGAAGCCAAATTTCATTTTAAATCTTTTCCAATTTGGTATCAGGAGGTTATAATGTGCGAGGAGGTGTTTCAGCTCCTAATACACGAGGAGACAATCAGAAAATTCTTGCAAAATTTTGTCCGGCTACCAGGAGAACATAATAGTCGAGGAGGTCTTTTCCCATCTCACAAAAATATTTCGAAGCCAAATTTCGTTTTAAATCTTTTCCAATTTGGTATCAGGAGGTTATGAGGAGGTTTTTCAGCTCCTAATACACGAGGGGACTATCAGAAAATTCTTTTAAAATTTTGTCCGGCTACCAGGAGAACATAATAGTCGAGGAGGTCTTTTCCCTTCTCCCACAAATATATTTCGAAGCCAAATTTCGTTTTAAATTTTTCCAATTTGGTATCAGGAGTTATAATGTGCGAGGAGGTGTTTCAGCTCCTAATACACGAGGGGACAATCAGAATATTCTTGCAAAATTTTGTCCGGCTACCAGGAGAACATAATAGTAGAGGAGGTCTTTTCCCTTCTCCCACAAAAATATTTTGAAGCCAAATTTCGTTTTAAATATTTCCAATTTGGTATCAGGAGGTTATAATGTGCGAGGAGGTGTTTCAGCTCCTAATACACGAGGGGACAATCAGAAAATTCTTTTAAAATTTTGTCTGGCTACCAGGAGAACATAATAGTCGAGGAGGTCTTTTCCCATCATCCACAAAAATATTTCGAAGCCAAATTTCGTTTTAAATCTTTTCCAATTTGGTATCAGGAGGTTATAATGTGCGAGGAGGTGTTTCAGCTCCTAATACACGAAGTGCCAATCAGAAAATTATTGTAAAATTTTGTTTGGCTACCAGGAGAACATAATAGTCGAGGAGGTCTTTTCCCATCACTCACAATAATATTTCGAAGCCTAATTTCGTTTTAAATCTTTTCCAATTTGTTATCAAGAGGTTATAATGTGCGAGGAGGTGTTTAAGCTCCTAATACACGAGGGGACAATCAGAAAAT